TATATTTAACTGGACCATAAAGCATGCCACAGATGAGCGATAGAGAAGATATTCACACTAATAGCTGAATTAATTGCAGATTCTTAGATTAAAGCCTTAGATGAAAGACTCCAAATGCCAATAATTTGTTGTAAATTTTTCAGGTTGGCAGCCACAATATCTCTAAAATTAATAAATAATATATCTGAAACGGTCAAAACAGTCTGTCCAAAACAGCTACTTTGTCCATTATAGAATCTGAATTAAAAAACAAACTTTATTTGTACCGTAAAATCCAAAATGCACATTAATTTAGCTTAGATCTACTTATGGAATCACACGATGAGTGATGCTGCTGCGTGGATGTTGTGGTGAAATACAAGACTGTGATTTTTAGGTGTTTGCCCATGCAAGCATCACTGGGATGAGGTTAGGTTGCTTTTGTGATTTCTTGTTCAGTCAAACAAGTTCACACTCAAATCTTTATGATACTCTGGTGCCTAGATATGACTCAGTTGTTCCGTTGATGTAAGTATATGTCATTTTCTGCACTTGTTTAATCGTCTGCCAGGTGAAAATAGTTTAGAAAATTAATAGCACACCCTTCACAAGCAATGCAAATTGAGATATAATTCATGTTCACAGCTTGTCTTAACAATAATTAGTTGTTTCATGGATTGTACCATGCAGAATTGCACTCAGGAAAATAAAACAACTTTGCTATCGCTTAATAAGCAACTTAATAAGCATCCAGTGAATCCATGCAAACACAGGCCTGATACTGTCCACATCACTAAAATATTAGTGACAATATATCAGTGTGGCATAAACCAACCAAAAAAACATATCTTCAACTCAAACATATTTTTATTTAAAGGTCAGAACAGCGTGCCAGAGAAGACCAGGCTGCTATTTGTGTCGATCAAACTCTCTCCACAGGCGTCCGGTTTTTCTGTTGATTACAGCTTGTTTGCTGGTTTTCTTGACAATATGCTAATGTGTGTTCTGCAGCTACATCCCCATATCACAGATTGATTTGCATATGCTTGGTTTGGCACCAGGAGTCTCAAATCTGTCTTCAGCAATCAGTCATAAGACCTTTTCAAAACAAATTATACTCGCACAATATGTGGCGTAAAGAGAAAGACGAGTATGTGACAGTTTAATAACTTGTTGGCCTTGAAAAATTTGATAACTGAAGTATAAGGAACTAAAAGTGTAAAAAAAAAAAAAAATTGTGAAGATAGCATGTCAAAAACCCTATTAACTTACAAAAGTTTGAGGTTGGTAAGATTTTTTATGTTTTTGAAAGAAGTCTCTTATACTCAGTAAAGTTATGAAAATACACAGTAAAAATTGTGAAATATTATTACAATTTAAACTAGCTGTTTTCTATGTGAATATCTGTTAAACTGTAATTTATTTCTGTGATGCGCAGCTTTATTTTCAGCATCATTACTCCAGTCTTCAGTGTCACATGATCTTCAGAAATCATTCTAATATGCTGATTTGCTGCTCAAGAAACATTTCTGATTATTATCAATGTTGAGAACAGTTGTGCTGCCCAACATTTTTGAGGAAAAATATATATAATTTTATAGAAAGTATAAAAGAACAGAATTTATTTGAAATAGAAATCTTTTTGTAACATTATAAATGTCTTTCCTGTCACTTTTGTGTCCTTGCTGAATAAAAGTATTACTTCAAAAAAAAATAATAATAAAAATACCCCAAACTTGGTGTATGGTAATGTACAGGGCTTTAAAACACATGATATATTACATTTATTTCTATACTTACAGTATATGGTCTTTTATGCCCTTTCTGGAGCATGACAGCCACTGTTTACTTCCTTTGCACGACATTCAGCCCAACATCTTTTGTGTTCGACAGAATAAATAAAGTCACATGAGTTTGACTGATATGCATTTACAGATATAACACACTGATCCTGTCAAATACACTACAGCTTGATTCACTGCAATGATTTTACCCAAAACAAAGCAGGAGACATCAGCACCCTCTACTGGCCGGCTGTGGCCCGCTGGGGCATTTTAACCCAATTTAGGGCCACTGTAATGCCAATCTAATCACATGCACTTTTACATAAACACCCACACACACACACACAGTCCTTTCTTATATTTTCCCTCAACTCCTCCATCATATGCAGGAGATTTATAGAAATCAAACCGTGCATACTCCACTGGCAGTGACTGCAACACAACATTTGCCACTCTGAATATTTTACACCGGTTATGAGCTTGCTGAGCTTTTGTCTGCGAGTCCAAGATCCAATCAGTCAAATGCTGACATTACAAGCACGTCACGTATACATGTACGGCTAGAAAACCACACAAGCACTGATGCTCTCAGCTGGAGACAGACTCGAGACCTCGAGAGAGAGAGAGAGAGAGAGAGAGAGAGAGAGATCTTCATAATTCACCTCACAAATGTCATCAGAGGTGTGTTTGATT